ACCTGTACAGGATGGTGGGCCGACGGGCTTTCCTTTAAATAAAGGGTTTGGTGTTATCCTCTACTGATCACGTGATTACAGAAGGGAGTCATAAGGAGATGAATACTGTGCCGACGGGCAAAGATTGACGACTCTTTTTACTGAGCCAACGGATACAAGATACAAAATACAAGATATAAGACTAAAAAATGCCTTAATAGCCAGTGATTGTACTTGTTCAGTAAGATTATTGTATTGAATTGCATGTGTACAGTACTGTTCTTATGATCTCATTATGATTTATTGATGAATTTATTGCTACTGTACGGATTTACTGTTAATGCATGATTTCACTGTTATAGCATAATGTTCATGTCACTACTGTTACTGATAGTGGAACTGATACTATTGATTCACTGTACTGACGTTATGCAAGTGATATACTGAGTAAGTGACATGTGATTCACTACACACGTGACATAGATTATTGGATTTCATGTGATGCACTGAGCACGTGATATTGGGTAACTGAATTGCAAATGTACATTTTGATACGATTTTACGACATTGATTGATTCTAACTGTTTTAAATATTATTATGATTTATTGCCTAATTTGACTGATTTCTATAGAGATTGACGCACGGATTTATTGAGCTTTATGAGATTTCCTACTGTTCACTGATTCTCTTACTGATGATTTTGGATTCTACTGTTCATGCATTGATTTCTGTTTCTGTACTGATTTCCGTATCTGCATAGATTCACTGATCATGTGCAACTGACTGCTATGATTCGACTGATTGACATGCATATTGCTTCCGTACCGTACTTTGATTTCAGTTGTAGGCTTTGGTGACCTGCTGGGCTTTTTGAAGCTCATTATATGTGGTTAACAATTTAAGGTCAGAGCAAGGGAGCAGGAATGGTGGTTGATCAAGACTGTCAGACGAATCCTTTCACTATGGATGCCTGGGGCGTCACAGTTATTGGGTTGGGTTGCTCTTTGGTATTAGAGTAATGTTTTTTGGAAAACTAATCATAAAACAGAGCTATATGACTTGGTTTGTAAGCCAAGTAAGATAGTTCTGGGCAAGTCTAGGCATTCCTTTTTGCTTTTTTCATGTGTATATGTAAATGTGTGTTCTATATGGTTATAAATATACAAGAAATAGATAGGACTAACGAGCAGAGTGCCAATCAAGCAACACTCATATAGAGTACCACTCCTACAGTTAGTTCTAATATTATTACACAATTTGCTAGTTTGATATCCCAACTAATGAGCAAGGCACAGAACAAGATTTCTTATGTCTGATTTGATGATGCAGACCATCACTTGCAGATGTTTATGAGATTGAAGCCTCCAAGATTTGAGCACGATGTTGAGCCCAAAACAACAGAGGATTGGTTGAGGCTGGATAATACATTTGACAGTATGTAGTGTCCATCTAAGAGGAAAATACCTCTAGCTATTTTTCTCTTAGATGAAGAGGTTGAGCGTTGATGACTAAGCCAACATGAGGTGAAATTTCAAGGGAGGATAAACTCCCTTATCAACTGGGAGGAGTTTATTGATGTATTACGAATATGATTTGAATCACTTTCTACATGTCAACAGATACATGAGACCTTTATGAGTCTTGTTCAACGGAGCATGACTGTTATACACACAACAAGCCTCTTATGCGATGGAAGATAGCAACCTTTATTCATTCGGCTTGTTTCCCTCTCAAAATATTTGAATTATGATATTTAAGAGTCAATAAAATTATTACCACTCGAATACAATTCTAATCAATTATTTATCAAAATTTAATTCGACATTATTTGAAAAAAAAAAAAAAACGTTATACCATAATCTGCAACTAAATCATTTTTAAATGTGTTTTAAAATTCACAAATTATATTGAAAGTCTCTTTTTAAAGATTTTTTGCAATCAACACACTTAAAAATAAAATCAGTATTGGTCATAAAAAAAATTAAAATAAACTGCAAAAAATTGCAGCAAACAAATTACAAATGTAAAACTCTCGTCCGAGCTTCATCCGCCTTCAGAGGCCCTTCGCATTCCCCCATATAAATGGCAGAAGGAAACAGAGATGAAAAATAAGGGAAGAAAACCTCTAGATTGAAGAGAAAAAGATAAAAAAAATAGACCAGTTAAGTGAAATGGGCATCCTTCAGCTCACGAGGCTCACATTCGCATTCCCTCTTCCTCACAGAACCCTAATAATTCCGTTCCGCACCAGCTCGAAAGCTGTTTCGCGCCATTTTAACTTAATCCACAACCGAGCACACTTAAAGGCCACTGCTTTCCCATTGATTTCTTCTGCAGAGGCTGGAATCGGTCAAGGGTTCTACTGCCTCCCTTGCAGGAACAGGCGGATTGGTTTAGCCATGGCGTCGACGGATTCAGTTCATAAATCTGACGACGAGTGGAGGGCGGTCCTCTCGCCGGAGCAGTTCCGGATCCTTCGCCTCAAGGGGACCGAGTACTTAATCTGTTCTCTTCTCCGATTTGTGTTATTGCTGATCCGATTTTGCTGGGCTTGAGCTGTTTGTTTTGTTGATTTGAGATTTCAGGAGATAATTTTTCTGGATAAAGGTTCCATAGGGAAACAAAAAACAGTTAATTAGAAGGATTTTGATCATTGGTACAGAATGATTGATTCGAAAGTGGCTGATTTAAGTCCTGATTGACTTGACCTCTCTACATGGGAGGATGACTAAAGAATCAAATAAATCTAAAATGTTCTGTTTTATATGGTCAATGAAGAGAACAAAAGCCTTCAAAGAAAAAGCTTTACTTACATGTTACTAGTTATTTCTATTTATTTGGTTTATGCATGTCTTTCGCCTACTCTGATCTATAAATAGGTCTTTAGGGTGTCAAAATTTAATTGATGGAATCGGAATTCAATTCAAAGTTTCTCCCCAATATTCAAGCCTGAATTGACACTACATTCACTCTACCCCACCTCCCCTACTCGTCCCTCTTCTTCTCCCTGGGCTTTCCTTCTCTTGGCCAACCTCTCCAAATGAAGTAAACTGAGAAGAAGGGCAATGCCCAAGAAGGATGAAAAGGGGAAACTGAGCTCTACTCAAGAACAACCATTTGGAAGCAAGACACCAGCATGGTGAATTTCATCTTCAAGGGCTTTGCTTTTATCTGTCATAATTCCTAGCTCTAGCCTACTCTCTCTTTAGCTATATTTTTTATCTTGAATAATTGCATTAAACCTAAGGAGATTGATGCATGGTGATTAAACTCTCATTTGAAACTTTCTGGAGGGACCTTTTGTCTTCAATTAAGTGTTCTAAATCCTAAAACCGTGTGGATCTTGTTATTCCTATGGTTTGCAAAGATTAACTCCACCTAAAGCTCCACAATCAAAATCTAGCAACACCGAGCTTGAATCAAGATGGTGAAGCATTTGTCTCCTATAATTTGGGATCAATATTTTTTAACGAAGCTCCATTTTCAAGGCCTAAATCCTAAGCCATATTTACACCTTTAGGAGTGCTAGCTCAAACCTCTTAGGCTTTGTTTGGCAATGATTTTTGCTTAGTGATTAGCTGACTTAAGATAACATAGTCAATTTTTAGGCATTTGGTAAAAATTATGTCAATTGTTATGTGGAAATATTTTTCTGCATAAAAGCTAAAAAAAGGATTGTTATGGAAAAGCTAAGCACCCCTAGGCCATTCTCATTCTATGGAAAAGCTAAGGATTGCTCATTGCCACCTAAAGTTTTGATGATGCACGATTCCCATTCAACGGCATCTTAATATCGTAATAGTTATGTCAGATATGTCTTAGAAGACCTTGATAGTTTCACCAATTATCTGAATATTTCATGGCATCCAAGATTGTAACAAGAAAAGTATTATAATCTATGTCGATGCTACTTGAATACACCGGCATTTGCAACATTTGAGGATGGTGTTGGCCATATCATCACAAGCTTCTACTTCATTTACAATGGACGCATAGGAAGGCCGACCTTGGTTCCATTGTCATAACTCTTTTCGACCACATAAAAGGCACCTTGTAATGAAGTCCCTCCAACTGCTCGAGATGGATCGTCATTGTACTGATTTTTTCTACAATTAGTAGATCTTTGCAACTAAGCAAAACCGTGTGGACTTTCCTCTTTTGCAAATTTCCATGTAAAATATCTTGTATTTTTTTTATTACTTTTGTGTGCGAGAGAACAAAAAACTAAAGGTGATTGAATCTATCTTTTTCTCCCAGCTTGATTTGCCACACCCAACAAAGTGTTAGAAATCAAATGCAAAAATTAGTTTGGGAGGAAAAAGATCGTCTCAAATCACATGTGATTTCTGTATAGGAAATAATCAAATTGTAGATATTCTGAGAAATATATGAAGAAATCAAAATAAAACCAATAGAGAAGATAAAGTAGAGGAGCTTATTAATTGAAGAATGACTTAAAATGAATGCTTAAGTTCAATGTACAGTTCAAACTGTGTCTTGATAAAAATTGAAACATCGTTTTAAAAATGGCATAGATAATACAAATTATGAAATAAAAGTTACAAGTCTGTATCAAATTATGATCTAAAATGAAAGGATATGATTCTCTTTCTAAATGAAAAGTATTGGAATTCTCTTTCATAGTATTTGATACGTAATAAATTGAACATTTGTGCTGCTTGAACAACAAGACTCTGCAGTCTGTATTTTATAAGAGAGCTGCAAAACTATTAACAGGTATCCAGGTACTGGTAAATATGATAAATTCTTCAAGGAAGGCATCTATGAATGTTCTGGCTGTGGGACTCCTCTTTATAAATCCACTACAAAGTTCAATTCTGGTTGTGGCTGGCCTGCTTTCTACGAGGGTTTACCTGGAGCCATTAACCGAACGGTCTATTTCTCTCCTTTATTTTTATACATATTGTTACATGTTTGGTTGCTGAATGAATTATAATGGTTTCAATGTTTTCAGGTGGATGCTGATGGAGTTAGAGTAGAGATTACATGTGCTGCTTGTGGTGGCCATCTTGGTCATGTTTTCAAAGGCGAGGGATTCAAAACCCCAACCGATGAGAGGCATTGTGTCAATAGCATTTCCCTCAAGTTCTCTCCTACTTCTTGAAACATTCCTGTAGCTTTTGGATAATAAAGAAACACCTAGACTTGAGGGATTAATAAAATATATTTCAAAGCATGATAAATTATTTTCATATAATCATCCTATGGAGTAAGATTCTTGGTCATTTTTATTATTGATTTTGACATACAACTGATTTTTCGGTTGAAAGATCTGTATGCTTATCTTCTATCATTTTGATTCTCAGTATATTTTTAATATTAACTGCTTGCTTTTGCTCCAGTGAGCTAATTTAAGCCTGAGCTGCTAGAAAACGGCTAAAATGTTGGCTTCCTTTTATTGTTTTTTTTTTTTTTTTTTTGGAATTTGGAATGATGTAGGGCTTGAAACATGAGCTAAAGAAATCTATAACCTATTTATAATAGGTTGAATACTTCCAATGAAAATAATTTCTTACCCATACAATTAGCAAATTGTGGGCTCCGAAAATTTGAGCTTTAGGGCCCCAGCCTCTCCGTGATATATTCGGGGAGAGTTTTAACGGATTAAGTTTCAGGAGAAATTTTTAGAAGACATATTACATAGAGATAAGATACTACGTAGAGTTTTCCCTGTTAATGAGGACTTTAAGATCTGAGTTATGATTTCCTATAGGCGCAAGCCCTTATAGTTAATCACCCCTCTCGATAATGAGAGAGAACTTTCGATTTAGCCTAGTCGTTGAATATATACGTAGTATCTAGCATATAGTAGCAACAGCTCCATAAATTTAAAATTAGAAAATTTATCCCGTATCACTTAAAGCGGATGATGAAGGGAATGATAAAATTTTATCACCAATCAAGATCCCATGGTTCAATCGTCCCAAGTCATCATAGTCCCTAATATGCATAGTCAGAGGAGGTAGTTGATCCAATAAGATCGAAGGATTCTTGTTGGTAGCCATTGGTTGTTTCGTTCAAGGATATTTTATAGACATTTGGTGAATGTTTGTCCAAGGGACGAATTCAAGTCATCCTTAGCTAATAGAGGGCTTTGTGCCCTATCGATCAAACCCTATGATTCATTACACAAAGGTAAATAGCCATTGGGGAACATACGAGCTTTAGTCATGAACGTAATACAATTGAGTCATTCGATCAAATCACTAGTTCAGAGAGTCGCGGTCATGATCGTTAAGCGCGTTGAGCCGGTCTGGCCAAATCACGAGTTCTTTGTGGAGCCCTATGGCCAAACCACTGATTAGAGGATCAGTCATAACCATACCATGTAGAGCTGTTTTGTCAAGCTTTGGGTTAAAGTGGAGCCGTATTGGCCAAACCACCGGTTAGAGGATAAATGTCGCATCCTTATTGGCATAATGAAATTTGAGAATTAATCTGATTGATATTCTCGACTGGATATTGCTCTTTGTGAGCTAGAGTTATCCTTGAGTTTATCATCCTCGCCAAATGGTTGCGGAGGGTGAATGAATTTTGCTTGAAGTTTTAAAATAATTAATTTTAATTTTAAATATTAAAATTATTAATAGATGTAGATCTTTGGAGTTTTGGTAGAATTCAAAAATTAACCCCTCCGATTGATATTGGCTTTCAACAAGATCATCATTAGGGTGAAATTATAATCATTTGAAAATATTTATATTGTATAGAGATTTGGGGGTATTTAAAAGAGTATAGTCCACTCTGATTGATATTAGCTTTCAACACAGCCATCATTAGGGATTTTTGGGTATGATTATTTCATTAGTTGGACCTTGTCAACTTTGTTTGCTTGCAAACGTACAGAGGATCGGGTCAAGCTTCTAATTTCAAGAGTTATCGTGTTGATATCAGAACCTGGGATGTTCATTTTAATATGTTAATTTTTTTTTTGTAAGAGACATTGAAGGACATATATGAATGTATAGAATTAAATACTTCAACTAACTTTAATGAGTGTCAGTTCCGAGAGTTTATGCTTTTAACAGTGAATATTTCTTGTAATATATATTGATGGTCTAATATAAACGTATAAAACCAAATACTTTAGCAGACACTACAATCATGTATTTGTTTTATGGTTCAACTATTCAAATCATATCAATTTCAATCCATTCAAAGAGAAGGATCGGACTTAAACTTAAGTTTACTTTTGACCTGCACAACATCTTCTGATGCCACGTGGGTATATGTATTATGTTTGTTGGGGCTCATGCAAGTACGTACTTTTGAGTGTATTTCATATAATATACTTATATGACGGCTATATGTATGTAATGCAGTTGATGTGCATGACATATATGCATATCACACATACACATGTATTTAGTTGCATGTTGATATACTTGTATATGTATTTGTATGTTTGCATGTATACGTGTTTGTTAACATATGCACTTGCGCACTACTTAACGTGCTTATATGACATTTTTTTATGTTGAATGGTGGCTTAATGCATTAAGGTAGCATATGATCTATTTGCATGTCAGTATAATGTACTATTATGACACTCCATTTTTGCATGTTAGATAGTGTGTTTGCATAATGTGGTTTTGCACATTCCAATGTATATGTGCACAACATATTTGCATGTTAGATGTATACATATGCATAATATATCTATATGTGATTTAATGCATAATGCATCCTTGAATAACATGCAATTAAGATGTATTTGTGATGTATATTTATAGATTTTTCAGAACATTTGCATGACACATGCATATTCTAAATGCATTGGTATGCGTTTTAATGCATATTGCTAGAATATTATACGTTTCTCAAGATAAGGACATGCTTCTTGAGGTGGCAGAGCTTCTTTATAAGCTATCATGCATTTCTGGAGGCTACTACATGCTTCTCAAAGTAATGACATGTTCCCCGAGACAATGCGTTTAAATTTGGTAAATTGTATTATGATGCATGAGGGGGTGTTATGAAATATTCAAATATGATCAATTGTTAAAATGATTATTATTGAAAAATGCACAAATTTTCATGTAAGGTCCTGCAAACTACTTCTATTCATTTGTATGAATGTTGTAGATCTTGTGACGTTATTTAGAAGTGCGTTAAGTTTCATTCGTCGTGCATAAGTGGTGTTATTTAGTTCATTTTATCTTCTGTGACTATCTTTTTCTTCAGCCAACTTGTAGGAACATGCTTCAGCCTACAAGCGAGTTGTACGATGCATCATGAATCCTCCACCTTTCATTTATAAGCAAGCTAATAAATTCAACGTGACACCCTCTCAATACAAATATCTCGCTTTTGTTTGCAGATGAATCGTAGCATTGTGCTACAGGTCATTTGTTGCTTCTTACAGGCAGGCTGTGGTGTTGTACAAACTTTGTTAAGCTTGATTGTGGGCCAACAATAGACATGCAGAAGTCATCAACTGTTGTATGTAGGCAAACTGCATTCAATGTAAATCTTCCAACATTGCCTATAGATGGGAATGTTGTGTGCATTTCAAGTTTACGCTCTCTACTTGTGTGCAAGCTATATTAATAATAAGTCTACTACTTTGATCCACAGGAAAACTGTCGTATGTATAACAAGTCTTCTAGTTTTTCCAATAGACAAGTTGTACCATCTGTAAGTTTCTTGTTATTGCCTTGTAGGTGAGTTGTCATATACATTGGAAGTCCTTGTTTTTTGCCTTTGGGCAAATTAACATGTCCATCTATTATCTTTTTACATAGGCTGGTCATGATATTTGCATTGCAAATCCATTCTTCCTAGCTGTATGCTAGGTAACACATTCATTGTTCATGCCCTATACATGCCTATAGGCAAATCATGTTCATTACAAGTCGTACTTCTTCTTCAACAAGTGAGCAATCATGCTCATCACAAGTACCATGTTCATATTCTTGCTCTTAGTCGTAGGCGGGTTGATGTGCTCATTGCATGTTCATTTGTTGTTGCCCATAGGTGGGCCGCATTAAGTGCAAGATCTCTAATGTTGTCTATAAGCGATTTGTTATGCGCATTAAGAGTCCTTATTTATTCTTGTAATCAAGTTGCATCATTAATCACATATCTCATTGCTTTTTACTAGTTGGCAGTCTGTTTTATGTATCACAAGTACGTAGGTGGTCCGATATATTCATTATAGGTATTGTGTCTTCTTCAATGAGTGGGTTATCACACTTATTACAAGTATTTTATTCTTGCTCTTACTCATAAGCAGGCTGTAGGTGAACTGCTATTTGTATTATATGTTCATTACAAATATCACTTAGCTTCTTTGATTTTGTCAATGGCATTTAATTTCATTTTAATCTTAGAATATTAATTTAGGTCTTGTCAGCTCGGTTGAGTATAATGGTTGATGTGCAGTAGGTAGTGTGATGTGTAGTGTACAAGTGGGTTTGGTGTGGAGTTCAAACTTGCAGCAGATGGGAGGAGAGATGGGCCTTGGGCTATATGTGGTGAGGAAGGAGTGGGAAGATTGGACTGTGAAGTGGGCTTCTTGGAAATTTGCTGACGAGTTGGGGGACTCTTTGTGTTTGTAGTGGATTGATTTTAAGTGGGTTGGTGAGTACAAGTAGTGGAGAGGGCTGATTTTGGGCTACAGGTGATTAGGTAAGAGGATAGGAGGCCTATTTTGATGGAATGGAAAGAGGAGGAGCTGCTGCGAACGTTTCGAGTACAACGACGACGTCCGTTTTGCAAATTGATGATTTTTTAGCAGCATTGCACAATTTTTCATCCCTATCCTATCAATTTAGATCACCTTCACTCAATTCAACTATAAGGGTCCCTCCTTCATAGTAGAAATATGATACTCAAATCATATTGATGCAAACTGTTTGACAATCAGAGATCATTTGGGTAGTTTTCGCTAACATCATGCTTACCAACAATCATGCTCGTCTTCATTTTCAATTAGTTGCGTATGAATAATTCTTCCTTAGCAAATTCAGTATCCCCATTTTATTAGCGATCAAGGCATCTCGATGCTTGTGCTAATGACTTCAATTATTCTTCTTCCTCAACACACTCAATTGACCGTGAAACATATATATAGGTCAACACAAACAAAAGGAATCTTTAAAAAAAATAATAATAATGCTGAGTATGCAATCTAATCTGATGGTTACAATTTTTTATGGAGCTAATGTAAAAGAAATAGTTTGTTAATGAAATATAACATTCTATTAACTTTGCTGTAAAGTAAAAGAGTATAAGCATAAATAAAGTCATGCATATAATATAAAATCAAAGGAAAATTATGAACACATGACTAATGATATCAAATAGGTGCAGTTCTCGTTTGGTATTGCTTTTTGACCGTAGGTAAGGTAACCAATATCCATTGAAATCTATAATGATGAAATTGCCCTTTTGAAAGTGCTCCCAGAACTGCAATTTATGGGACAATTTCAAATGCATCATTAATGAAAAATGGTTGGGCATGCAATGCATCATCTGCGTAATAAGAATTGATCATCAATCCTGGCAAGTAATGAGAATTGTCTGAAAGTAACAGAATCCCTTTAGTGCACAATAAACCACAAAGAAAACATGGCTGGACATATATCATCTCTCATGCGTTCACTAATCATCCTCTACTGTTTTCAACTTCTTAGTCCTTGATGAATTTCTTCCTTCGGAATTTCTGGGAACCATGTCTTCTAAGATCTTTGGAGGTGTGAAGGCAAATTTTTCTACAGAAATTTTATCTCTGTATTCCGGATATGCATCAAGAAATTTCTCAATCTCCACACTGCTCCTCAACCTCTTCCCATTGGGCATAATGTAACTTACATCTAACTTTGACAAATCTCTCCTCATTATAAGTATTCTCTCTGTGTCAGGGGGCGGCTTCGGAATGTTCGGCTTATCGATAATCCATAGCCTACTGGTATCATATTCTATATCACCGGGATCATCGCAGGTAACGTTCGGCCTTTTCTCGCAACACCATGGATCTTCTATGAAGGTGTCCCTGATCGTCTCATATTCTTCTTTTGTGGGAACTAGCCTCCACTTGAAACATTTCTCACATTGTACTGCAAATGCTCCAATGGAGTCCTTGGGAATCTTCGATTTCTGCATAAAAGAGACTTCAATTTAGTGTTCAGCTGCTGCTAGAAAAGCCAAAAAGGAGAAATATACGTGGAAATTATTGGAGGCCATAGTATGATAACTTACAATTAGCCCAACATTGAAATAGATGAATCTATTCCATAATTTTTTTTTTGGGACATTTAGACCAATTAAGGCAAACTCACACACACATCACATATGTGAGACTCGAATTTAAGATCTCTTAGTTGAAAGCCAAAGCTTCCAACTAACAGACCAAGGTGAGTTGCGTTGAGATGAAAATATTGTACAATTTTTTTTCTTGTTTTTTCAAAAAATTGCTTTTAAGAACTGCTTTTGAAGTTCTCAAAACTGAAAGCAGAAAAACATTATGAGACCCAGATATAGCCAAAACATCAATTTTCTATGTAGCGCCGTTAAACATAATAAGGTTATAAAATAATTGCCTCATTGTTTACAGATTTGTAAGTGTTACTGCATAACTTACAAAACATCATTATAACAAGTATAAATCTAGACATACCTTCTAAGGAATATATATAAAAAGAAAGGGAAAAAAGGCTGTTTTGTTCACTGATGAAATCACAACTTCATAGGATAACATGGCCAGCTCTAAGAGGAGAGCTTGACAGAATCGCTTTCATGTTGATACACTTGGGACCTTTCAAAAAGATTTTGCCAGATAATAATAAAGAAAAGAAATCTTCCCTTTCAATTTATATTTTCTTCCAATTCACACCCACTTCTTATAGTCCTTACAAAAAAAAAAAAAACTTGCGAACATCGCTTTCAAACTTGCATATCTTTCTTGTAGGAGGTGAGAGTAAACAAGTATTCTTTCATTTACATTACTCAAATAAAAAAACCAACTAACTGCATAAAATGTTTCCTATGATTGGTTATAGATGCCAACCCAATTAAACAATCATCCTGAGTATGCTATTAATTACCAATAATTTCAATGGCAAAAATAAGCAGGTTAAACCAGTTGTGCAGGTAAATTATATCAAGTTTGTAAAAATATCTATGAATATGGCATCAATTTCTGACAACGGATTATGTAAAATAAGACAAGGGAGAATGTATATCATGCTTTGTTGCAAACCAATAAACTATTATGCATTAAGCACCAAGTTTGATGCATATAATCACAATCATTAATTGTCATTGTGAGACCAGATAAATGAATCCTTATTCAGCATTCACTCAGAAACCTCTAAAAAACTACTTCTACATCCTTTCAAGACTTTGAAAGCTAACTTAATCACCTAGTTTTATCGATTCTTTACTTCTTAAATCACCAATATAACCTTAGTCCAATATTTTCAAACACCAAGATGATGCCATTGCAATCAATTTCTAAAAATTCTTATTCTCAATTCATCCCCTTCTAGCTTATCAACATCCATACACTTATACGCATTTAAACATTTGTTTAAGCATTCTCTGTATCATGATAACTGTTTTCACATTAATAACAACAATAACTGGCTCACTGAGAGCACACATATCAAGATTATCACAACTGTTTACAAGCCTCAAAATCCCCAACACTCTCTGGAATTAAAAGTCTCCTATATATATCATGTAATAATAAAATATATATATATATAATATATATAATATATTAATAGTATATATATATATATATATACTATATATATTATATATATATATATATATAATATATATTATATATTGTTTTTAACATCTACAAACAATCTTTTCAATGGAATTAGCTGGCATATCCCATATCAGATTTGGCCAAAATAAATAATTTATCTATTAATAATCTATCTTAAAAGATTACAAATTATTTCTCATATTTTTGGGTTTAATTATTTTCTTTGTACTCTTAAAGTAATAGATCCATAATAGCTACTTTATTTGATGTGTTCAAACTCTCACCTAGAATCATTTTACATTTTGTAAAAAACAAAATAAAATAAATCTTTGCAAGTGAAAAAAAGTTTATTTGTGATTTGGCGGCTCCACTATTATATGTAATTAGATATTTTTCTAGTTTCTTAAAATGCATTTACTATTGCAAGATCATAGCCTAATGCGACATCAAAAATAACCTCCCTTATTTCTTATATATTTCCTATTCCATGATCATCATGAATCCTCACATAGACAACCTATTAGAAATTATATCGCCATTAAAATCACCTCCTAAAGATACCCTATTTCCTCCCCAGAACCTCCTAAAAATACATTTTAAAACTATTTTCTAATTCAACTTAAAAGAGTATAAACACTAGCCACATTTAAACTGTCTCCAACAATAATAATATCTCAATAATTTTATCTTTCAACTCTATATCAATTACTATCAAACCCCTGTTATTAATATTTTCAACATACAATAACTTCGATTTTTTTTATTTATACATGGTTTCTTGTAAATAATTAATTTTATTATTCTTACATACCTCCTTAAAAGAGAAGCATGGTATTAAGGCTTTGTTTGGGACGGGTTTCTTACTGCTTCTTAAAGCAACTTTCAGTACAAAAATTTTAATTTTTGTACTATAAAGGTGCTTTAAGCAGTGGTAAGAAAGCGCTTTCTTACCCAAACGAAGACTAAGTTAAGTGTTGCAAAGATGAGGATGCTTAGGTGGATGAGTGGCTTTACTCTTAGAGACAAGATATGAAATGAGCATATACGTGAGAAGGTTGGAGTAGCTCCTGTGGAAGATAAGATTAAAGAGAGTCGCCTTAGATGGTTTGGTCACATAAAACGGCGACCTTCCGATGACCTGGTTAGGAATGTAGATGTATTGGATTTGGCTTATGTTGAGAAAGGTAGAAGTATGCCTAAAAACATTTGTTAAAAAATATTAGAAATGAGTAAATGACATTTCTTTATTAGACTTAAATGAGAATTTGACTCTTAACATGACATAATGGAGAAAAAGGATTCATGTAGCCGACCCCACATAGTGGGAAAAAGGCTTGATGATGATGATGTTGTTGTTGTATTCTTACATACCTCCTTAATAATAAAAGTAGAAAATTCAAGATCGAAGGTTCTTTGATGCAAAAAACTCATATGTTTTTGTATTTGTCCATCTGTGAATTTGTTCAATCATAAACAAACTAGATGCTCAATACCCTCTCATCTCAAATAGTCGAATGCTTTGAATTGTATCCTAATAACAAATACTATATTGTGTGGTTGCATCTATCAGTCTTTAATTGCAAGGTGGTGCTCTTATTCAACTTTATGTTGATTAGGCTCCACAAAGGCCTTCAGAACCAAGGAATATGTTATCACCACTTGAGATGGAGGTAAGAAACCCAAAGAGCTTCCACACTTGTTGGAAGAACAGCTTGCCCACTGCTGGATGAGTGATTGTGTTTCTATAGTGAATTAGGAAAGCAATTTTTTTAAACCTACGAACAATCACAACAAAATAAATAGTTATGCCTTATTTTTCTCTTAAGCAAAGCCTTTAAAAATAAATATATGGCGATGTTTTCCTAGGGTCACCATGATTTATTAATGGAATAAAAAATCCACTTTTCAAGTTTTAAGTTAGAGATTCAAAGCCACATCCTTAGCTAGTATTCCTGACTTCTTAGGAAGGCCCTAGGTGCCAATCATAAGGAAAAGCTTTATGTCCACTAGCATGAATAATCTTTATAGGAAAAGTATAGCAATGCTTTATTGCTCTCAAACGTGGCTCTTCCTTTTAGGAAACATAAACAAAGAAAATAGTTCACATTGAGTCTCAAAACGCATTCTAAAGAGCAAATGAACAATCAAACAATGATGAAAATCATAAAATAAGCCAACAAAATTTCACTATTCATGAATGTCACACCCCATTTTGACCCTCTTATAGTCAATCTAGAGTGTAACAGAGAAGGAGAATTTGAACAGAACTCCATACTAACACCTATTCTGAAATATCTCTACTAGAATCAAGGTGTAGGAAATTTTGATTTCACTTCATATCTTGTGCATTTTTATATTTTATATATTATTTACTCTTTAGTATATACAAAATTTATCATTTTATGTTTACGCAATTTTTTGATTTTGAGGCTTACGCCTCAAAACGCCTTGAGGCTTACGCCTCGCTTCACGAACGAAAAACGCCTCAATAACCGATTACGCAATTTTAAACATTGGGAAATAGTCTATTCAAAACATTCTAATATATCAAGATTTATACTTACCAACAAGAAGTATGTAATAAACTTCAAATACAATGCATATCTAATATGAAATATAGTGCTTTACTAAAAAATTTAAAATTTACTTACATCCCCAAAAATTTGTGCAGCTCTCACTCAGATCCCTTTATGATGTAAATAAATATTAAAAGTTTTAGTAAATCTTTGTATTTCATATTAAATGTGCATTTTATTTGAATTTTATTACTTGCTTCATGTTGTTAAGTATAAATCTTGACATACTAGGATATTCTGAACATACTATTTCTTACTTTCTAATTCTGATAGAAATATTTTAGAATATGTGTTAGTAAGAAGTAGTTATGTTCAGATTCTCCTTCTCTGTTATACTCTAGATTGATTATAAGGAATCAAAATGGGATGTGACAATGAATATTTCAATCAACTCTTGTGCTAAAGGAAGCCACAAGCCCACAATCAATATAATCTTGTAGATGGTGATGTATTCAATTAAAGTTTGATTATCCTGATCAAATATTCTGGGCATGCGAATTGTAAATTCCTTAGGCAATAAGTACCTGATACTTATTGCCTCAAGTTTATCCATATATACCCTGGAGAGTGCATACACATCTTCAAACATAAGTATTATATTTGAAATGTAAATCAAGAACTTTCAGGCAAACTATCAAGATAAAAGTATGATCATCAATGGAAGACTATATCATATCTTGGTGGTAGTTGCTTCTTTGCTTTTCTTTAAGTGGCATTGAGATTTCTTGACAAAACCCTAATGTTGCTTCAAAAGAAATCTCATGATTGCAATATTTATAGTGATCATTTAAAGAGTTTTAGCCATGGAGGTTACCAGAAGTGACTACCATCATATAAAGAAACATACTTCCTTGGTCAAAAGCTTCCAAACACAAGGGAGAATAATTTTGCGTCCCAATGCGACAAACTTTGTCTAAACATCCATTTCTTAAATACATCAGAATATTTCTCCATCTATGTAGTGCAAGAATTTCCAAAATTATCAAGGACTATATAAAAGCTTTTTCCAACCAAAAAAAAATATGAAGGGAACACCTTCAAAAAATTTAGAAAACTTTGAAAACAAAAGAACAAACATCATAATTGAAAATCTGCCAACAGATTTATAAACAACAGAATGTCCATATTCTTGTTCTCTTTTCAGACACAAAATAATGGGATTAAATTGTGCTAGAAGTTCAGGCAGGGTCCTATTAATTAGCAACAAACTCCTAATTTTCATGTACTTAAACATCAAGTTTGACCACAAAATATTTACCATACATAATTAATGAAAATTTTTAATAATCTAAAATATGTAAAAGATAGAGAATTTTGTGAATAAAAAATAAAATCTCATTTTCAAAAAAAATATTAAAATAACATCTACTCTAAGGAGGCACATGAAAATCTCAATGGAAATAATGATGAGAAATACAAGAGCCTTTTTATAAGTTCTACAAGAAAATAAGATCTACTCAAAGGTCCGTCTCTTCTCACTTTGATGCCCACCATATACCGTTTTTGTTCATTGCATTGTTCTCACAAGTTGCTCAACCTGCCAATCTCTCCGTCTACAAACCACATGGCCTTTCAGGCCCATGTGGCTATACCCATTTATCTTATAGAATTAATTCAGAAATTTCTATGTAGCCAATAGGGCATGTTTAGTTAGACCTGCATTCCTTATTCAGCCAATATGCATCTGGGTTGTTGGTCCTAGAGCTAGTTAGAAAATGCAGATTTTTTTTTTTTTAACTCAAAATACAAGCATCCAAAAATAAGAGACAGATGTTGGTAATAAAAAAAATTCCTATCTAATGAAGTATGGGTTTTTTTTTTTAAGTGAAACATGAATTTGAAGTGCCCTAGAAGAACTGTACCAAAGCCTAATTTGAATTGGTTTATTTGGTAGAATTAGTGTCTAAATGAGCTCAAGTTTGCATTATTAAAACCCCAAATAAACTATAAAACTATATGTTGACTTAGTGGAAGCTTGAATAGGCCTAATTAAGATCTAGATGGCCCTAAACCGACCCAACCAATGTGAACCGACCCGATCTTGACTAGACCCAACTGGCCCAACTCAACTGGGCCATCATCAACATTCACGAGAATGTTACCAAGAACATGCTACCTCACATTAGTAATCTGAGACATTAGCAGAGGCAACCACCCCTGCAATCCCAAGTTTGAACAGGCTAAATGGATTGGCCTAAGGAAGGACCTGTCTGATCTATATGTACATAGCTTTTTACAATGGATGTCTTCCAGCTAAGCATAATAAATGGCATTGAATATGACCAAATTATCCCTCTTCATGTCCATATATTTGATTCAATTGGAATAATTCTCTATAATTTATAAGGCTCTAGAAAAGAACATAGATGCTCGCTCGTCAACACGTCTTGTCGCTTGTTGACAATATCCGGTTCCCCTCACTTGTGACAGATCACTGATTTTTGACATCGACATGTTGTCACTCATCCCACACCTAAAGTTGCTTGCAAATGATGCAGCATTGCTCACTGGCGAGACATATTATCGCTTATTGCTAACACCTACTGATACTCACAGATGAAGAGATGATGCTATTTGAAGGATTCATCAATGATGTAATGTTTCTTGTAGATGTTGCTCACAACATGACACTACTCATGTTGATGCCATCTGATAACATCACCATTCATGAAGACACCATTCAAAGACATTGCTGGTCATGTCATCACAAACCTCTATCACAGAATGCCTCCACCGCCACTAATGCCCCCAAAATTATCATTATCATCCAAATTGTCTTTTTTGGAGTTTCTCATATAGGCAAGACATCATAGTTCTTACCTCCACTGAATGCCTCCACCGCCACTGCCTCAACATGACACAACTTCGCAATCTGTTTCTTTATCAGAATTTCTCTCGGCATACAAAAATACCTAAAACGACCAGAGATTAGGCAGTTTAAAATAGAACTCAATAATCAAACCCTCAATAAGATTCTAAAATAACCTCATGACGAAAAATAATTAAAAAAAAAAGAATCCGAAATGCTCCATAGATCTAAGCTAACATATATCCGCATGAATCAACACAAATTATTAGGGAAACGGCTAAAATACATCCAAACACAGTTCCATTGGCACAACGAGAGAGAAATTAGGAGATCCCATCCAAATGACCTAACAATCGAGTAGAGAAGCTCGGGGATTAAAAAAAAATCGCGACTTGCAATGCAAATTCAACAAAGAAGATATCATAAATTAGAGAAAGAATAACAAAGAGATGTAGATAATCTTGATAGCTTCAGAGGAAGAGAAGTGATTGAATTATTCGTACATCCATGGACTTGATTTTGGGAGTTTTCGAACTCGGAGGGTTTGTATGGCACTGCTCACTGCTATTCGATTCGGCGTCCGACGCTTCTCGTAGAAAACCCTCGACGCTTTGTGGATAAACAAATGACAACAGGTTTCTGATAATATGTGTTTTATACAACTTTGCCGATAAGAGGTGTCAAAATTGTTTAGCGGGTCAAAATTGTTTGGGTCTGATCTGAAATTCATCTGACCTAATAAACGAGTCAAACTGATAAATTAAATTCAGTCCGATGATAGTTTAAATGATCTGAATCTAATTTGATACTTATTTTGATGAGAAAGATTTATAGCTCGTTAAATATAAATTTTAGATAAATTAATCCAAAACTAAGGACATTATGCATTTATGCGAACAAGAAAACGAATTTTGGTTACTTTTGGATTAAAATTCAGCTCAAATTTGTGTCCGATTCAAATCTAACTCGTTTATTAAATCAGTCAAACTGAATTCAAATTTTTTTAGTTGAATTGACGAGTCTGTCATTTTCTTACACCTTGGTATTAACCAGTAGAATTTTATATTATACTTTTATTAAAATAAATTCAATGATTATAATATAATTTTAAATAAGTAAAAAAAATTATTAATTTCAGCCCATCTTAATTGCTACTAATTTTGGCTCTATTTTAAAATGAAATTCTATCATAATCTCTTAAAATTAAATATTTAAAGCAAATATTAATTTTAAAAGAAAATTATTAATATTTTTATATTGTAACATGAATATGAACAAGAACCATGCAAGTAGCTCATATTTATGATGAGTACTTTTGGCGGAGCTATTATTCTGTGTGGACACCAGACGGTTCTCCCGTCCTGTTAAGTGCTAAGTACCCAGCGGTACTGAGGGGTACCGAACTCAGTACCAAACAATGGGGTGACATAACGTATTTTATTGATCTCCAAACACCGCACAGAATAATAAATCCTTTTTGACAGGAACGCAACAGATAATTCTCGAACGAAATTTTTTTTATCAAATTGATTGGGAATGGGCGATGATACTCAAATATGTAACAACTAATCTATATATGATCTATATGGTCAAAGCAGTTGGTAAAAACAAAATTTGGTAACCAAATCGACCAACGGGGTTTATGTTCAATGTCAAAGATCAGTTTCTCATAATATGAAAATCATTATTTTTCTTTATACAATCTCTCCGATCTCACTTGAATTTTCTCAAAACCAAATACCCAAATACATAAATATATATAAACAGCAAGCTCTTCGATCGATCTCAGCTATAGCTCCTCTTTAACAGATATATATAGCTTTGCTGATACTTCTTATTATATCCATCATGCATGCAAAATAACAATAAGAAACGTACAGTAGCAATAATATATAATTATGATATAGATATGTTTAGGGTTAATTAATTAATTATTATTAAGTAGGAGGATGGCTTCCAGCGGCGGCGACGCCTGAAACAGACCTAATGATCTTCATCTTTGTGCGTGCAATGAAGTCGTCAACCTTCTTATTGATGCTGTGGCTTCTCCTCGGCTTCTCAGCCTGCGGGCCCTGTGTAGGCCTCACAGGCAGGGCTTTTGACGCTTCATCAAAGCTCTGTATCTTTACCAGCTTTTCTGCTCGACCACCAGCTGTCATGGCGGCGGCGGCGGTGGCGTCCGCCATGGATGCTTCAGATTTCTTCTGCCGGAAGTTGAGGCAGTGGAACATGTTGACGAGTCTGGTCTCTGCTTGCTTCTTCTTTTTTTCTTCTCCTCTGAAAAAAAAGAGGGAGAGGGAGAGGAGAGAGGTCTTGGCTGGGTGGATGGATGCTTTCACTTGTGGAGCTGAGCTTTCGATGGATGGAAAGCTATTCGATCTTTTTTATTTATTTATTTAATCATATTCAGCAGTATCCTAATTAACTCGATTTTGTTCAAATATACATATAATTATATGTGTTTTTATAAATTTAAAAAATTTTATATTGATGAACAAATCATATGCATATTCAGTTTCATAAATTAATGAACTATATAAATACAAATAAAAATAATGAAGTCTCTTAAATTAGAATCATTTACACCCACAGATCGATAACTATGTCGTGTTTTAGAAGATGGAAAAGAGAAAGGGCTCCACTTTGTTTTTATTCCGCATTTTAATATATAATAATATAATATTATTAGTACTTATAAAAGAATATTAGCTTCGAATGGCTTCTCCCCCTTTATCTGTGGTGGTGGTGATGGTGGTGGGAATTATATTCCGTTGTCTATAAAAGATTAATGCTCTCACTATCACTATGTATGTATGGCTTTCACTCTATTAATTAGATTTCTACCCCACGACGAACTTCTGCTCGTCACCGAACTGTCGTCGAACTTCTACCTGTCGTCAAACTTTCATCGGACTTCTACCAGATGTTGAACTTCCGCCCGTCGTCAAATTTCTACCAAACGCCAAACTTCCGCTCGACTACAATCTTTCCGACCTCCGTCGCCCCTCGACTATGGTCCTTCCGACCAAACAAACACGTCAATAGAGATGCTTCCTATTTCCACCATGTAGCATACTCTACATGATGTATATTTGTTGCGTCCAAGCCAAGATCTTCCCTCCAATCAATGACATCATTTGTAATCAACTACAAATACTAGTTTATTCATTCAAATTGGGCTAAGCCCCGTGATTTTTCCCCTTGCCTTCTACTTAAAAATTTTGGTGACTCTTAAGAATGCTACATCCTCTCTCTTTATTTATATACATGTTGCATCTTCATATGAAGCTAAAACATTATACTTTATATTCCTCTACTGCCGCAAATATTCTAGGACACAATAGTTTAGCACGGTCTATGGAAACCTAGTTTAAGACTTGGCGATAATTTTTGCTTCAAACTCAAAAGGCCGGTCATGTCAACATCCTGGCATCAGCTATTACTACATCAATTTTATAGGAATTAAATGTGGAATGGGGGCAATATTGACTATAGTCGTGATCAAGAAGATTCCTTCAACTCTTTCAAATTCAAGACAATATATTGGAATCATAAAGGTTTTGGCAAATGCCACGATGCTTCCAATAAATTTTAAGCTTTATAAAGTCTCTAACTGGGCTTTTACTCTTCGGGTAATGCATTAATCTCGACCTCAAAAAGGCACTAACGGTTTAAAAGATAGATCATTTTTCACCTTTGATTCGGGATACACGCGGCGTTCATCCCCTCCTTATCAAGGCAAAATTGATCTCAGGGGAATTCGATTCGACCTCTTCCACACAGATTAACGTCATCGAGCAGCTCTCTAACATACAACCTCAGATAGATCATACATCCTTGGTGGATTCTCTTAGCATCTTCCATACAGTTTAAGGTCATTGAGCATTACTTTGACATATAACCTTGGATATATCATACATCTTTGGTGAATTCTCTTGGCCTCTTTCTCACAAGTTAACTCATCGAGCCGTACTCTGACCTATAATATCAGATACGTCATACATCCTTGGTGAATTCTCTCGACCTCTTCCACACAGGTTAACGTCATCGAGTAATGCTCTGACATACAACCTAGGATAGGTCATACATCCTTTGTGGATTCTCTCGACCTATTCAATATAGGTTAACATCATCAAGTAGTGCTCTCACATACAACCTCGAATAGGTCATATGTCCTTAGTGGATTCTCTCGACCTCTTTCCCATATGTTAACTTCATTGAGTAGTGCTCTGACATAAAATCTTAGATAGGACATGCATCATTGGTGGAAGCTCTCTACCTCTTCAATATAAGTTAACGTCGTCGAGCAGTACTCTGACATACAATTTTGGATATGTCATATATCCTTGGTGGATTCTTTTGACATCTTCCATATAGATTAATGCTCTGATATATAATATCAGATAAATCATATATCCTTAATGGATTCTCTCAACCTTTTTCATTCAATTTAACATCATTGAATAATACTCTAATATAAAACCTCAGACTGGTCAATAACCTTTATGGATTTCTCTCAACGTCATCAAGTAATGCTCTAAAAAATAACCTAAAAAAGGCTCACGTATGTGGTAGCTTTAAAGGAATGTCAGTAATAAACAAAGTCCTCATTTATTCAAAGACCTTAGTAGACTAAAAAGCCTGAAAATGTATATATATGCAAAAATCATAGCAGGCTAAAAAGCCTCCTAGAGCATAAGGAGCAATATATCAAACCATATCTCAAAGATACATAAACAACTTAGTTTCGTCTAAAGGATTTCATTTCAACTGAAAAATAAGCATCAAACCATACAACTCCTCATATAATATCATTAGAGTTACATTGTAAAATTGTACATCAAGTTTAAGTATACATTCATTTTTGCAAGAAGCTGAAATTAAAAATTATATCATCATCATACGTACAAGTTAATGTCATCAAGCGACAAATAACTTTTAAAAGTTCAGATATCCTTGGTGAATTCTATTAACTCACATCTTTACTTCACAATGAAACATCTCCTATAATTTTTTTCTTCAAAGAAAGGTTATAACATGATAATCAGCAGGCCTCCACTCAGTTGACACTATAGGTGTGTCGTCAGACTACTAATATAGCACACTGCTTTGACCCATTCAATCATGGATATCTGATGTCCGCACACATCATTATGAATGCATATTGCCTTAACATAATGCAACTAGACCACAGCCATCATTGGCCCTTCGTCTGATGTCTGATGTTGGTCATTTACTTCATATCAACCCTCATCAACTTTTCACTTAACAACAGATAGCAGCACACCCTCCAACTCTCTCCTTCATCTCTCAACTCGACCGTCGACTATAATAAACTTCCACCCAATCACTAATCGTTGCTATACTTGCACCTGACTGTCGATCATCATCAAATTTCTACTCAAACATCATCAAAATTCTTCATGTTTATTGAAAATTATTGGTTCTCCTCCCTAGTACTATTATTATCAAATCTTCTCAAATCAACCTCACATACAAGCAGCATTTGATCATCATATGTTAAGGTCAATTTATTGAGAAAGTATGCTCTCTTCATGACTTATTATACACAAAAAAGAGGGCACTGAAGCTCGATAGGAGATGACATCTATCTCAAATAGTTGAATGACTCTAATGTAAGAATAAGAACATAAGAAAAGAAAAAAGAAGGAGAAAAAAAAAATCTCCTTCTATAAAAAAAGAGGCACTGAAATTTGATAAAGGATGCTGCCTATCTAAGACAATGGAATGCCTCTAATATAAGAAGAAAATTAAAGAAGAAGAAAAGAGGAGGAAAAAATTTTAACTTCTACAAAATAGATGGACACTGAATTTGAGTATGGAATATCGCCTACCAAAAATACTGGATGCCTAAAATATAAGAAAGTCAGAATGAGAAAGAAGAAGAAGAAATAGAGCAATTTTTCCTTTACCCCAATTGGGGAATTTATATGACACATGAGGGGAAATGTTAAAAAAATTAAGGGAAATTTTGTCTCCAATTCGTTCAATTTTTTTTAAAAATTATTCTAGAAATTTCTAAAATTTATTTAGCTCCATTTAAGTCATTTTTGGATTGACAGGCCCAACTAAAAAAAAAAAAAGTTATGAGGGGCGGCTTTAGCCGTAGCCCCATTCTATAAAAAAAAGGACCCACAGCAAAAATATATATATATATATATATTAGAGAGGCGGTTATATTAACCGGCCCTTTTGGAGGTAGTCGCGGAAACCCGCCTCACAGGTGGGTTTAAAAAAAATCATAAAATAATATTGAAGGAGCGCGTACAGAGCCCCATGTTTGCATGCAAGAATTGTTCACCAGTGCCGCCGGCTCGAGGGCAACGGCCAGCTGACCGATTCAGCCTCCCAAATGCCTTTGGGCCCGTTTTTTCTGCCCTAACAGTCCAAATTGGATATTTTTGGGGTCCCCAAAATCATTTTTTGATGTTTCAGACTCATTTTTTATACTTTCAAAACTCAAGAGAACTTCTATGATCAAATTTGAACAAATTTTAAGTTTTTTTAATGCAATTTTTTTTTGTGATTCGATCAATTTAAAATGCGGTGATATATATTTTTGGACTCTACATGCTACAATGTCCAAAAATAAGGGACCAACTTATATAACATCAAAAAATTATATTGATCGGGCACAAATCTCGAAGCAAAATCAAGAATGAAAACTTCAAAATTAAATCGAAGAACATCTAAACTCCAATTTTAGCAAACTTACAGTCGAACTGAACGTCTCGAAAATACGAAGCGAACGACACCAACTTCGACTCAATCCGAGCCTAAATGACTTCAAATGAAAGACACAAAGCACATTTGGAAGGTTCAATCAATAATTTTGATTATCAAATAGTTTCCAAACATGACGTGCTTGTAGTCGAATCGAGCAGCTCGATGAGATGAATCCAACGAGCCTAAGATTATCAAATTCTGATATTAATAAGACATTCAAATGTCTAGTAAACGGTCCATGATCAAGGGATTCAATATCGGTCGTCCATTTAAACCACTCCCAATTTACCCTTGATCTTCCTCTTATTTACTAGTTATGCCACTCTCAGAAAATTATAAATACATCTCTCATTCTTCATTATAGAAAGAAGAGGAAGGGGCATATAGGAAGGAAGTAAGGACGAAAAAGGATGACATCGGACTGGAGGGGGCTCGACGAATCCACGTCAACGATCCGGTGACTGTGACCAAACACAACTCCAAGAACTCCTTGGAAGAAATCACCACCTGAATGCACTTCGGGATATAGAAATAAAAACAAAACTAAACTCAAATCTTATTCATCTCCAAATCTTTTCCTCCTAAATCCATCAAGTTTTGGAGAACATTGGTTGATCATCATATTAACCAACTCTTCACAAGAAAAATTAATTGATTCAGGAGGAAAAAATTTGGAGATGAATAAGATTTGAGTTTAGTTTGGTTTCTATTTCTATATCCTGAAGTGCATTCACGTGATGATTTCTTTCAAGAAGGAGTTCTTGGAGTTGTGTTTGGTCATGATCACTGGATCGTCGACGTGGACTAGTCGAGCCCCCTCCGATCCGGTGTCAAAGAAGGCCAAAGCTAAAAGGGAAGGAAGAGAAGAAAGAGTTCTCTTGCCACCAAACTCCTCCTCGACCACTTCCCGACCATCGACCGATGTCGGACTTCCGTCTGTCACCGGATTTCTACCTGACGTAGAACTTCTGCTCGTCGCCGGATTTCTACCCGACGTCGGATTTCCCCCAATTGTTGGACTTCTCCCCATTGCCATACTTTTGTTAGACTTCCGCTAGTTGTCAGATTTTTACCCAACGTCGAACTTGTGTCTGTTGTCGAATTTCTACATGACATCGGACTTCTGCAAGTCATCACATTTCTCCCCGTCGTCGAATTTCTACCCGACACCAAACTTCTGGATGTCGCAGGACTTATGCTCATCGTCGCACTATCATCAGACCTCTACCCGACACCGCACTTCAACTTGTCGTCAGACTTCTACCCAATGTTAGACTTTCGCTCATCACCGGATTTCTACCCGACGCTGGACTTCCGCCCAACTATAGTCTTTCCGACCTCCGTCGCCCCGCGACTATGGTTCTTCCGACCAAACAAACACGTCAACAGTGATGCTTCTTATTTCCACCATGTAACACACTCTACCCGATGTATATTTTTTACATCCAAGCCAAAGCCTTCCCTCCAATGAAGGGCCTCATTTGTAATTAACTGTAAATACTAGTGGATTCATTCAAACTGGGCTAGGCCCCCTGATTCTTCCCCTTTTTAGGATTTTCCTAAAAAATCTGGTGTCTCTTATGAATGCTACACCCTCTTTCTTTATCCATATATGTGATGGATCTTCGTACAAAGCTAAGACATTAAACTTTATATTTCTCTACTGCCACGAATATTCTGGGGCGCAATAAATGAAAATAATATTTTCATTATCAAGAATTATGAGCTTGAACTTGATTTTTGGGATAAATAAATATTTTAAGAAAGAAATTTCCCATTGATTATAATGATAAGAAGGCTTAATAGACTTTGACAAGCAAATAAGTAGAATCAAAATATTGTTAGATATGCCTTCATGAATGTCCAGTATGACGAATAGTTGAAATAGAAAAAATGCAATTTATTGATTATTTGTTGTGACAATAGCAAATCATATTTGAATAATGACACTTATTAACCTAACTTTGTTTTCTCTATGAATGGCTCTCATCTATTCCTCATCTTCTTGACTTGTTTCATTCCTCTCTTTTTTTTCTTCTTCTTATCATGAATCATATATGAAGGCCGTTTTTGATCTAGTAATGGGCCGAGCCGATGCCCAAAGCCCTCCAGCGAGCTCCCCTCATCGGCCCAATGAGACCACACCGCATCCTTTCCCGTCTTCCCGAAGAGCCCGGTTGCCTCTTTATCACGTGAATCGCACGTGCTAAAAGAAGGAACAGTTGGCTTCTGCCGGGACCATTAACCCGGCCCACTTTCTATCTATCAAATCCAACAGTGTACTGATCCTTCTTAATACATTTATTAATTGTTTTTTTTTTTTAATTTTTAAAAGAAAAACTCAGTTAATAATAGAATCCCAACCACTCCCAACAAAAAATAAATCAGCCCAGCGAGAATCCTAAGAAAATAAAAGAATCCTACTTCATGTCAGGTCCTACTCTGCCTGTGTAGTTTCGGCCGATCCGAGACCACAATTTTATTTATTTTTTTAATTCTACAAAGGAAATAGCGATCCACGTGTCAAACACGTGGCAGCTTCGCTGACATGGACTCGGCTCCATTGCAAATGTATTTGTATTTGAGCAAGCTCATATGTCAATTGGTCAAGTGAATATAAATTATATAGCATATAAATCGTCATATATATAAGTATAATTAAATTAAATAAAATTGTATATATATATATATATATAATTTAAAATAATTATAAAGCCAGATCATAAAATTCAATAGACCAACTGCTTATGGAGCCATGGAGGCATGGAGGGAGGAAGCTTAGCTTCAACTGTACGCCAAAATCATATATAGCTCACCGTCCCGAAGAATTCATCTATATATCCACTAACTAAAGAAGCTTCTTCTCCACACACACACACAGTCTCTCTCTCTCTCTCTGCGTCTTGCCGCCATTAAAGCGCTCACGCCCTTTCACACGAGAAAGCTAGCGAAGCTGTATTGGTATTGGTGGCACCTGCTGTTATATTTCTTTCATCCGCAGGTCTCTTCTTATTATTATTTATTACACAATCGCTGCAATTGTTGGGTCGCTCTGTTGATGAAAAGCAGAGGAAACCCAATGGCGGCGGAAAGCGCAAGCGCAAGTGCATTTCTCCTCCTGCTGGCCATTTTCTCTATATCGCCATCGCGGGAAGCGTCAATCCTTCACCCGGACGATTTCCTTTCCCTCCAAGCGATCCGCAAATCCCTATCGGACTTGCCGGGTTCGGATTTCTTTTCGCGGTGGGATTTCACCGGCGATCCCTGCAGCTTCCCCGGCGTCTTCTGTGACGGTGATCGCGTCGTCGCTCTGGCCCTTGGTGATCCCCGTGCCGGCACTCCGGGACTTGCCGGCCGCATCGACCCCGCCATTGGCCGCCTCTCTGCGCTCGCGGAGTTCTCACTCGTTCCTGGCCGGGTCATCGGCCGCATCCCTGACACACTGTCCTTCTGCTCTTCCCTACGATTTCTTGCCCTCAGCGGAAACTTCCTCTCAGGCCCCATACCCTCATCGATCGCGTCCCTCCGCCTGCTTCGCACCATCGATTTAAGTTTCAATCTCCTTTCCGGCGAGATTCCGCCACCGATTTTCTCCCTTCCCGCCCTTTCCAACATCGTCCTCTGCTATAACCGCCTCTCCGGAAATATCCCTTCCTTCCCATCCTTCTCCCAACTCCTCCGTCTCGATGTCAAGCACAACAATCTATCCGGCGAACTCCCCGCTCTCCCCTTCTCCATCCGTTACCTCGCCGCCTCCAGAAATCAACTCTCAGGTCGAACCGATGCCGTCCTGCCGGGGCTCACCAATCTCGATTACCTCGACCTCAGTATGAACCGCCTCACCGGACCAGTCCCCAGCGGCGTGTTTTCCCTCCCGCTCTCATCACTCTTGTTGCAACGGAACGAGCTTGTCGGCGCGGTGGCTCCGGTGGCGGATGTCAGGATAGCGGAGGTGGATTTGAGTTACAATCGGCTATCCGGGCCCGTGTCGCCGCTGCTTTCGGCAGTGGGCAGATTGTACCTTAACAACAACCGGTTCACAGGGGAGGTCCCGGCGAGGTTCGCAGAGAGGCTGGAAGCGGCGGGGATGGAGGTGCTTTACCTGCAGCACAATTTCTTGACGGGGATGGAGATCTCACCGGCGGCGAATATTCCGGTGACGAGTTCGTTATGTCTTCAGTATAACTGTATGGTGCCGCCTGTGAACACGCAGTGCCCGCTTAAGGCTGGGCCGGAGAAGACCCGGCCGGCGGATCAATGCCCCGCTTGGCGGGGCTGAGTGGGCCGCCCGGTTCAGTTCCGTAGAGCCGGCGGGAAAGCGATCGGGATTCATTCTTTCGTGAAATTATTATTATATATCATGGGGGCACATATTGATATTAATTAAATTACATCATAAAGTAAAAGACGAGGGAAATATAAGTGTCGAAATATATCAATGATTTCTTTCTTATTCGTCAAAGTAGTGCTGAGTTGGTTAGAATTAGTACTACGAGTTCCGAATCGGCTGTGATTTGGGCAAGAAAAGATACAGTAAATGTGTTTTTTTGGTGATTATTGACACTGTAAATCTTAAGGTTGAGTTTAATAACCCTAATTCAATATTGGACGATTGATGGCTTTGGTGTATTTGAATGAGTTTAGATACATGTGTTTAGCATACCCTGCTGTAATAGCATTTTCACATACCCTACTCTAGCATGCATTTACAAATGAATACATTAATGCATGTGTTTAAAGAGACAATAAAAATGTAAGAAACAAGTTCTATTATCAGTTATACGATATCTCGAGTTAAATTAATTGAGAAAATAATTTTAAATTAAAGTAAAAAATACGTTAATTCGAATTTAAAGTTACTATTTTATATTATATGTAGTTGGTTATTAAATAAAACGATGAAACATTTAAGAAATTAAATATGAATTTGAATTATAATTTAAACGTCATGGCATGCCTAAAGTAATGCATGTGTTAGAAAAAAGTTGAATTATAAGTGTAAACTATGGTCTTTCTAGCCTCTGTCGTCAGACAATGGTCTTTATGTCCATCATCGCCCGCCGACTACGATCCTTCCGACGTATGTTGCCTGATAACGGTCTTTCTGACCTGTCGAATGTCGATAATGGTTCTTCCGATCTCCATCGATTGACAATGGTCTTTCCAACCTCCATCGACCACTGAATACGATACTTATGGCCACAGATACCCAAATATGATCTTTCCGACCTCCTTCGCCAGCTGACTATAGTCTCGTTGACCAAACGAACACATCTTTTTTGATTCTTCCGATTTTCATCATGTAACGCACTCTGTATGATGTATATTTGCTACATCAAACCAAGCAAGGTCTTCCTCCCAATGAAGGACTCCATTTATGATCGATTATAAATACTAGTGAATTCATTCAAACTGAGTCAGTCCCCTTATTTTTACCCTTTTTAAAAAATTTCCACCTAAAATTTTTTATGTCCTTATAAATATTGCACTATATTTTTTTATCTGATTGTGTGATTGATCATCGAACAAAACAAGACGTTAAACTTTATATTTCTCTACCACCACGAATATTCTAGGACCCAACAAATTTAAAGGTAATGGCATGCCTAAAGTAATGCATGTGTTAATAAAAAAGTTAGACTTTCAATTTGAATTTAAATTTATAACCGTCATGATAGTTAATATTAAATAAAATTGTGTCATATGTTATACTATTATAATTGAAATTTTCAAACATATATATAATACAAAAAACATGAAACTATTAAATACATTTAATTTTAAATTTCAAAATATTTCACATTAGTATCACAAAATGTGTAAGTAATCTCCTAAAGGCATAATCATGCACACTAATGTAGCATAAATAAATCTAGCATTCTATTACTTCTCTATGGCAAGTTGACCTCCAATAAATATAAATGAAGTACAATTCTTGGCTAGGTTGGCCATCAACTCCGCAGTTATTTTGAAGCTTGAAATTCCAGAACCTATTTGAAATAGCATTGGATTACCAAAGAGCCAACCAACCACACAGAGGTTTGTAGGCGAGAGTTTGGTCAAAATGGTTGATTTTGCAATTAAGCATCCACATCAGTACATCACATATTATTGCCATTAGATTTCTCCATACTTTCATCAATGCAGATACCGTTTACAATTTGCCAATTATAAAGCTGTAGTACATTCTCGAGAACAGCTATATCACTGCCAAAGACGGGAGAGATTATTGTGCGGACACCGGACGGTTCTTCAGTATCGAGCGCGGTACATTTTTGGGGCGACGTGATGCATTTTTATTGGTCTCCAGCTGAATCCGAACGCCGCACATAATAATTTTTCGATAGGAGGTGAAAAGCTCCACTTTTCTTATAAGATTCACCTTTTTTTTCAGACCTTGATATTTTTACCAGTAACTTCCCTGAACTAGTTTTCAACCTTGCAAGTGTTCCAACTGATGTTCGATAAACAATTTACTATGCTTAGCTTGTCAATTCAAGCTTTTCGTATGTGATGTAAGCTTTTAATTGACCAAGTTCCAAACTTTTGGGTACACTATAATGGCATGCATTTAATAGGTTTCAAGTATGAGTGGAAAGCAAACCCATTGGACTAGTTGATTATTTGTTCTTTGACAGCTACAGCATGTTTCTACAATGAATTCAGAATACTGCTAATAAACTTTTCTATTTGGTACATCTTCAGCAAGGGATTTCAATAATTCCTATTGTATCAGCAGTTCCAGTAAAAAAATCACACAAAAAATTTAAAAAAAAAACCAAAAAAAAAAACATGAATTGTTATCTCTAATTCTCTATACGCAGTCAAGAATAATACCTCTGCTTTTGATTAGCAGTGCAAAATAATCTCCCCTAACTCGTCTGCTTTAGCTTAAGATTATTAACAAAACCAAATTCTCTGCAAAGAATGTTTCGAATTTCTGGCAAAGGCCAATGATAAGTATAGTAAAAAAAGAAAAGTAAATTGTCCATCAACGCACAGGTAACCTAACCCTCCTGCCATACTGAATCCATGCCTGTTTTAAGAATATGAAAGCCCTTTCCTCAAAATAACATGACACCACTAACAAATTGAGAAATGTGCCCAAATGATAAGTTTTTTTATTGCAGATTCAAGTTGCATATAGACCAACTGGGAAAATAAGCACAGCGGACAAAATCACAAAGCAAAATGACACAAAGTTGGGATATAAGCCATTGCTTGACGATGACAGATAAAAATTGTTTGGTAAAATCAGAGGGAAAAGGATGAAATTTTGGGTCATTATATCTTGACCCAATTTTGATTAGTTTTCTGATAGAACTTAATAATCAAAAAAACAGACAACAATATAAAAAAATAAAAACTTCAAATAGATCCAAAAATAACACCAAAATAGTTGTTTTTACTAATGTCCAAACAAAGACAAATACAAGTTGATTTGTTGTTTGAGAGGTGAATCGTCTCTTCCACAATTTCCAGCAGCTACTAGTAGCCCAAACACCTCACAAAAACTGCCGCAAAAATTTAAAACATAACATAAAGCGTAAACCTCCATAATCCCCGCCTTAAACAGTCCAAAGCCCCTAATAAATGCCCCATAAATCTTTCCCAAAGAGCAACCCCCCCCCCCCCCCCATCTTTCCCAAAGAGCTCCCCCCAAAGCCTCTTCTCTTATAGGTGATAAAGGAGGTTCTTAGCCCCACCTGGGCAGCTATGCAACTGCAAGCCACATCAATACTCCCTTCCCAAAAAGTCACCTTATCCTCAAGGTGAAAAAAGCGAAACTGCTTCTCGATGGTACTGTAGGGCTCCCATGTCACCACACATTCTAGTAAATCCTTTCACTTAATCAGCACCTCCCTGATCCCCTTGTCTCTTTGGCGCACCCATTTCACCTCCAATGATTCTAATATCACATCCATATCCTCTAACAGTGTAGCCGGTAGTGCGGGCGAGGGTGTATGATTTCCAATGGCTTGTCTAAGTTGTGATACATGAATTACATATGGATGACTAAGGTATGTGACAATCGTAGGCGATATGCTACCGCGCAAATGCGCTCCACTACCTCATAGAGCCAAAAGTAGCGAGGGGAGAGCTTCTCATTCCTTCATCGAGCCAAAATCCTCTGTCTATAAGGTCGGATCTTCAGATAAACCCTATCCCCAACCTCAAACTGCACATCTCTCTTGTGTCCATCCGCTTGCTTTTTCATGATTTATTGTGCTCTCCGTAGATGTTCATTCAATTCTGCCAACATCCGATCTCTTTCTTCCAAGTACAATTACACTGATGACACTAGTGTGATGTTATGTCAATAATGTATCATAAGAGGCAGATCCCTCACATATAGAATTTTAATGGTGTTGTCTGGGTAGTTGTACGATATGAAATGTTATACCAATATTCCACCCAGGCTAACCATTTAGCCCGCATCTTTGGTGTATCAGATATCAAGCAACGAAAATAAGTCTCCACAATGCGATTTACCACCTCCGTCTGACCACATGTCTTAGGGTGGTACGATGTACTCCGCTTCAGGATAATCCCCTGCACTGAATAACTCCCTCTAGAAGTGGCTCAAAAAGAACTTGTCCTGATCGTACATAATGACCTTAGCTACGCCATGCAAACGGATCACCTTACTAATGAATGCAGCTGCCACCGACATTGCGGTATATGGGTGGAGTAAGGGAGCGAAATGAGCAAATTTGCTCAATATGTACACTACCACTAGAATTACAATGAACCCGTCTGATCTAGGTAGTCCCTCAATGAAGCTCATAGTCACATCTTCCCACACTTCAGGTAATGCTAAAGGCTGTAGAATACCACCTGAATCCATAGCCAAATATTTGTATCTCTAACACATGTCACAACTGGCCACCAACTCATCTACATCTTTACGCAAACCCACCCAATATAGCTCCGCTACTAGTCTATAATGTCTTCTAAGCTCCTGAATGCCCCCAAAGTTGTGCTATGAAATTCCTGCAACAAGTGAGGGATGTGTGGCGATGACCTCGAAAGCATAAACCAACCCTGGTATAGTAGCTTCTAACCCATCAAAGAGTAATTGGGATGGCTATCCTAGTCCTATAGTAAGTTTCCTCTGATCTTACTCAGCTCCTCATCCTGCTCGCTCTCAAACTTCAAGACCTCGCAATCCACCACTATGGGAATAGATAGAGCCATAATCTGAGGATCTTCACTATGCCTGAAGAGAGCATTTGCAATTTATTTTCTAGCCTGGGCTTATACTGGATCTCAAAGTCATAACCCAACAACTTGGAAAGCCACTGCTAATGCTCATTTGTCACCATACTCTCTTCTAATAAGAACTTCAAACTTCCCATCACAAAAAAAATACAACCCCCTAGCTCGCTTCTCTTGAACATTTGCCTCAGTCAGTCGCTTGAAATTTTCCCCTAGCAGTGCTCCTAATTCCCTATCCTTGTATACTTTGATAGGAAACACTTGTAGGAATCAAAATTTAGATGACTGAATTTGAATTTTCAGCAAGATCCCAAGCCAGAGTAAAGAAGAATTTTGGTAAAAACACTAGCGAGAAATAATGTTGATTGATAATGATTGATCAAAATAACAAGATA